ATATTATATACAAATATAAATAGATATCATTTTCGGAGATGTAGGTATTTTACTGACCCAGCATTCAAAACTGATACGCCCGAAAATAAAAGACTTTACGCGAAACTTTTAACCCATTTTGCTCGAAACTCTTTTTATCAAACGATACATACGTTTTCTTTGGCTCTGATGGACCGATTTACGTAATTTTGTAGAGTGTCTTCGTTATAGGATTGTATATCTTGAAATGTACTCAGCTCAGCACGCTGATGATTTACATAATGTGAAGTAAAATGTAAAAAAAATTAGCGTAAAAGTATCAATTATCGTTTTTACGACACTAACACTTTAAAAAATATCTGAAATTCCTCATACCTTCATACTAGAATACCACTTTAATATTCTTATTTCTTATTTTTAACTCAAATTCGTAATCAGGWCACCGCGAAYAMCCCAYAGACCTCTTAGCACATCAGTCGCAAATTTTACTTCAAATTTATTGAATAGTGTTATWAAAGAAAAATAAATTTTGTAAATGTTCGTTAGTTTTATTAAATTGTATGCCACTCCAATAAGTTAGACAAAAAAGGACATACATTTTTCTCTCATCTCTGATGTCACTAAAAACACACAGATCGTAGTTGTATGAGTAAGCAGTATAAAAATGTTTATTTTATTTTTTGGTTAATTTTTTTTTAAAAAAACTTCGAAAACTTGAAAAATTTTAAGCTTCATTCAAGTTTATATACAATTCTAAACAATCAAAGCACCTCAAATAACAGCAAAAGCAGCTGACATGACTATGTATATACGAGTACTATGACTACAATCAATCGCTTCACACTGCAAGTGTTAATGTCCTGAGGACAACAAACAGTATAAACATATGCAAATCAATKGATTTCGTTGCACAACAAAGAGCCCTGTCATGTATAAGTAGATACTACACTTTATTTACCCTTTGACATGCAATTTCAGCTACGCTTCATTATTGCGTTTGATGACTTGTTTGTATGCAAATTTGCATGGAGGGTGTATCAGTGGTCTTGCTAGAGTTTGCATAGTTTTCTTTTAAAATGGATACATTAAACTGACCTGCGTTTAAGTGTTATGACTGGTATTTGCCAATTTATAGCTAAGCTCTTACCAACTCACTAATTAACTCTCTGGGGGTTAATTAAGGTCGATTGAAGGCTATTTCATTGAGTCGTGGCTTATGGTATTTACTAATTACTTTAGCTGCTCTATATTACAAGCTCTCTCTCAGCAAAGGCTAGCTGTTAAATCGACAATAATCACGTTGTATAACATCGCTAGACATACAATTTAGTAGAGAGTACTAATTGTGAAGTATGTATTAAAAACTTTCCATCAGAACTTCAAACGAATGAGAGAGATGCTTCATCTTGAATAAAAGTCATTCCATCTTTAAATCTAAAATCAACGAATTGCCCAATTGAATGCGCTTATGTCGGCATCCGCACTTGCAATCACATATCTATATCTGCTGCTACAAATCATCACAACGCTTAACTAGCGCATCCAATCAGGCGGAAGGAGTGTGCATTCACTGCGCTTATAATTAAATTATGCACAGAGGTTGGCAGACAGGCAAAACTCGTCGGCTGGAAGAAATTGCATTGCGGATGAAGAAATCACAGCTAACGGAACGTTCAGAAATTGAGTTGGCACCGAATTGTCACAGTTCAATGCCTTAATATGCATACTTCAATTAGCGTYAAAGCTGTGCAGCTCCTGACGTTTGCTATGCAAAATTTATGAGGYATTTGACTATTGATTTTAGGCAAGTATTTGCAGTGTTCGATATTTAGGTTAGCGAAAAGTTATTGCGGCAAAATTTTGCGTGATTATTTKCTTATRTTTTTACTTTTTTCCTGTTTATGAGATCAAGCAAAAGAAAGTTCATTACTTATTAAAAAGTTGGCTCATTATAAATAGCCGGTCGAAGTTTGGGAAAAAAAGAACTTCATAAGGCAAATTTACAGTTCAGTTCATGGAAAATGCTGCTAATTAGAACAAAATCGAATCCATTTAAARGCGCTGGTGACAAAATGTGAGTCACAACAAAGTGAAGATATGATTGACTGGGGTCGAATCGCAGTGAGACGGCGCAATGTGTGCCGAGGTCAGGATTGACGACTAGTAAGGTTTCGATATAGATTGTGACAAAAAAGMMCTTTTTGGGATGGYCTTCAGCTCACTCAACGAAAGCTTTTTATCTCTACAATCGCCTGAAAGCAAGAAAAAATCACACCGAGCCAAATTTGTGGAATATGCTGSCGAAACGATGTCATTTAATGCGTTTTTGGTTTTAAAATCGGTGGCTCGATATGATGGTGCATTATCATCGTGTTAAATCCATGAATAGTTTCTCCATTGCTCCGACCATTTTTGACGGATGCCTTCACGCAAACGCCTCAATATGGCCAAATATAACTCTTTATTGACCGCCTGTCCCTCCGGTAAAAATTCATGACGCACSAAACCACGAATATCGAAAAGCAACACTGAGACTCACCTTGACTTTTGAGCGGCTTTGTCGTGGAATTTCATGTTCGGCAAGTATGGAGAAACTCCATTCCCATGATGGTTGACTTGCTTGCATGTCAAACTCAAAAACCCGTGTCACATCGGCAGTTATCATGCTTCCATGAATGTGGGATTGCAATTCGCACGATCAAGCATGTTCAAAAACAAGCTACATACCGAACTCTTTKTGAAAAAAATTCAGCTTTATCGAAACGAGTCGAGCAAGAACGAATTTCATACACAAATTTTCTACCAACATCATTGTGATGGACCAGCAAGTAATATCGATTTCTTTTTCTATCTCTCAAACACTTATATTCTTCASTTTTTTAATGTTTTCTTCAGTTGAAGAGGTCGAAGGTGTTTTTGATAAAACTGAAACATTGTAAGACTTTTCCAACAATCGGAACGATTCCACACACGAAATTTGGCCAGAAATACAAAATTTGATAAAAATTATTTTTCAATATTTATATCCATTGTAAGCAGCTGTTGTAAGCATACTGGTTGACAAATCGCATTCACATTTGCCATACAATCGAAGAAACAATTGATATAAATGCGGTAGTTTGGCATAATCAAATGGAGACGATGGGACTGGCAGCTGCTCTCATGTGGCTACAAACTCTGAATTCGAACGTTTACTGTCAGTAATTGTATCGTTTGCACGCTTAGCTGGCAAGTTGTTAACATAGAWCTAGCTATCTACCAGGTATGGAAGACCCTTTATAATATATACATAAATAATCAGCACAAAAGCCGAGGCGATTAAGCCATGTCCTTCCGTCTGTAT